CTTTTTTAGTAATTTTTAGTTACTTCCTAATAATGGAAAGATACAAAGTAATTTATTTTGCATATCAATTACTTAGAAGGCATACATGTCACATTATTTTTTCAGATATAGTTGAAATTTCTCACATATTTCAAAACCTTTGTTCAGATTATAAAATAAAGCCAAGAACAATGAACATTTCTTGCTTTTAAGTGCAGAAATCATTGCTGAAACGAAATGTCCCTACTGAACTCTTAACAAGAGAAATGATCAGCAGATGATGATGAATTGAAAATAGACTAATTATCCCATGTAAATATATGTATGTAAAATAGAAAGCATATTAAATTTAAAACATAGTTTGGCAGTTAATTGCTCCACTACCATTTGAATTTTTCCCATATCTATTCCTGGGGTATTTCCAACATATTTTAAAAAGTAAATTCATTAAATTAGATTCAAAAATATGCTGCTGTTGTTTTATAACTTGTAAGGTTGATTTACCATCAACGTGCACATTTCGCTGTTTAATAATAGCTAACAATATCTGCCAAATGTGAATCAAAACACATACCATTGACTAATAATATTTAGAAATATGGCACCAGTATACCACTGCCCAAAGATATATATCACTGGAATAGTTTCAAAAGATAATAAGAAACTGTAAATATCTTGATAGAATTTTAATGCAAAACGGTATTTTTTCTATGGCTGGCTTCTATATGACTTATCTCCTGGTTCTCCCCATAGATTTATTGTATTCTTTTCTCATTCTTCATTGACTCAATTTCTGTTTTGGCAGAACTTTTGGCATTCTGAATGTTTAAGTCTTCTCATTTCTTCTGACCTATGCAAGATGATATTTTTAAACATCACTCAATTATCTACATCTTGATCCTTTTTCCTGCATATTCTTACATGCTTAACATGTTAACATACTCTCATCCTTGTCCTGAATATGTTTCATTGCTGCTTAGTGTCATCTTCCCTCTGCAACTTCATCAATATTGCTTGTCTTAGACAATGAGCTCAGAGTGAATAAGAACTAAAAAAAGAACCACACATAACTGAGTATTTTATACTGCAATGCTTAATATTGCAGCCACTTCCTCTGCTTTTCTCAAGAGCTCTGTGGTTACTATAATCTATCACTAAGTTTACACAGTGACAAGTGAGAGGTAGTATTCTTTCTCATTGCGTTCTTGCATCAAACTCTGACTTTTAGGAGATGTCAGCACAATGAAGCTCAGCCACTTAGGAAACCCCAGCAGAGTCAGAAATAGGCTCTCTCAACCCTTAGTGCTTCTCCCTCTTTACTTACTATAGCAGTGACCTAACTTCTCATACAATTTCAATTACTACTTGAATAAAGTGCTCTCCAAGATGTAAATCTCCGTTTTGACCTCTCACACTCTCTCTCATTCTCAATATCTTTCAGTGATAGGGCATTTCCACTCATAAATCATACTGATAATCAACACTAAATGTTTCAAAAAATAAGCTAGTTACCTGTATATTTAAGCTCTGATTTACAAGTAAACATAAAGTATATACACAATTGCTTCTTTTCTGTTTTTACTTTTCTATACCTACTACCCCCATTCCATCAGATATTCCTTTAATTACTAGACAAATCTGAGAATCTGCTATATAAAGTTGCTGTTATTGTTGTTGTTGTTGAGGAGTAATACTCTAATGACTCTTTATAATGTTCTATACCTTTCCGAAGACTGTGATCATGTGGGAGATATCTATGTGAAAAGGCTGTTATAAAGGTTCTTATATTCACAGTATTCCATGATCATAACAATCCAGAGATTTCATACTTAATGTACCTGATTCTCAGACACGAGTCAGGTTAAATTTGGAAAGCGATTCAAAACATTAGTTGACATTTTGTAAGCCAAATATTGAAGTGGTTTATTAAGGCTTTGACTCTACTATTGTATGTTTTAATATAGCATAGGTATCCCTAGAAGTCCCTGGGTAAAGCAGACAGGTAACCAAAACGGTGGAAGTTTGAGTCCACCCAGAGGCACCATGGAAGAAAGGCCTGGTGATCTACTCCTGAAAAAGCAGCCATTGAAAACCCTGTGGAACACAGTTCTACTCTGACACACTGGAGTCACCATGAGTCAAAGTCGACTCAAGGGCAACTGGGACTGGTGGATATCCCTATGTAGATTTAGTCTCCTGCCTTCTGGGAAATGAATGTTCCTAGTCCAGTGAAATGTCTATAAAAGTAGATGTTATTGTTATTAATCTGCATCAAATATTTTTTGGAGTAGCAGAATATAAATATTGAATAAATGCAATTCAATTATTACTTGTTTTAAACATGATTATATTGCTTTACAAGGAGTCTTGGTGATACAATGGTCAAGCAGTTGGCTCCTAACCCAAAGGTCAGAGGTTCGAACTCATCAGCCACTCTGTGGAAGAAAAGGCCTAGCAATCTGCTCCCGTAAAGATTATAGCCTAGGAAACCTTATGGGGCAGTTCTCCTCTGTCCTATAGGGTCACTGTCTTGGTCATCTAGAGCTGCTATAACACAAATAGCACAAGTGGATGGCTTTAACAAGGAGAAATATATTCTCACAGTGCAGTAGGCTACAAGTCCAAATTCAGGGCATTAGCTCCAGGAAAAGGCTTTCTCTCTGTGTCAGCTCTGGAGGAAGTTTCTTCTCATCAATCTTTCGCTGGCAAGAAGCTTCTCAGGTGCAGGGACCCCAGGTCCAAAGGACGTACTTTTCTCTTGGTGCTGCTTTCTTGGTGGTGTGATGTCCCCTATGTCTCTCTGCTCGCTTCTCTCTTTTATATCTCAAAAGAGATTGGCTTAAGACACTATGTAAATCTTACAGATTTCATGAATGTAACTGCCGCTAATCCATCTCATTAACACCATAGTGATAGGATTTACAGCGCATGGAGAAATCACATCAGATGACAAAATGGTAGAAATCACATAATACTTGGAATCATGGCCTAGCCAAATTGATACACATATTTTTGAGGGACACAAGTCAATCCATGACAGCCAATCAGAGTTGGAATCGACTCGACGACACATGACAGCAACAATATTGCTTTCTTTGTTTAAGCCGCAGGTTTTTTTATTTGTTTTAAATGCTGCTACTAAGTATATTCAGAACTTAGTGATAGAATATAGAGATACTGTCACAATTTTACATACTGCCATATTTTTTAGAAAATAAAATTGTTGGATAATTATTTTTTAAATGTATTACATAAAAATTCAGAAGGCAGTTGATGATAACAGCATTATTCTATTTTCAGAGAAAAGCATCCTGAATACATCTGGTGTTCACCACTCCAGAGAGAATAAAAGATATTTCACAAAAGACACTCATGGGTGAATTTGTAGTATAAAAGGATTTGAGACAGAAACAAAATGAATATCATCCATTAAAGAAGGATGTGTTTTGTACTGTCTCCACATCATTCAGTTCATTGTATGAACTTGCAGCAAGGGTGTCATTCAGTGCATACTAATGGGTTGCATGAAACCTCATGATACTTTCATACCAATTCTAGTAACTATAAGAAAATAACTCTCAGTATGAGCGTTTCAATAATTCTACCATTTGAGATTCAGGTCAATTTAGTTTGAATACCCTTGTCCAAATGTGAATATATGTATAAAATTTTGAGCAGCAAGAGAGATAGGTTGAAATTTATACCTCAACTAAACCAAAAATATGCCACGCTGCTTATTGAGTAGGCTGTCAAGCTCACAACATTATCAGGCCAGAGTTACTTACTACAATTTTCTTCATCTGAATTATCACTGCAGTCATTTTGGCTATCACATCGCCAGTGATCTGGAATACAGTTGTTGTTTTTACACTGGAACTCATGAGGTCCGCAAGTCTTTTTATCTGTAATGGAAAGAACCAGAGTTTGCAATGTTGGCTTCCATGAATACATTCCTCACAATATCCTGACTGCCATGCCTAATTCCTTGGCATATGACATTTCCTTAATTCTTAATTCAGTTACCGACTGAATAGCCTCCTAGGAAAAAATGAAAGCAAGTGCTGAAGGAAACTCAGTTCTCTGTCTTGTTTTATGTTACTAGTCATGTTTTAATTGCAGGCTAATTACAAAACAGTTGATTGGACCACCAAAGCAAAGTCAACACGAATTGTCAAATGAAAGTTCCAGGTTATCCTTCCATTTAGGACACTCCATCTCTAATCCATCCCTCCATTTCTACTATGAAGCAACAAAAAGAAGTGGTTATTTATCCAACTGTGAGGTTGCCACCTTGTGTTCTTCCCCAATAAGCTCTTGTTCTTAATATACCTATGGTCAGTTGTACTTTTTAAATCCTAGATATTATCCACTCAGAAACTCATAGATTGTAATAGTGTTTTAATGTGTAAAGACTGTGAAAATGAATAAAATAGCATCTCATTGGATATTCTAAATAATCCCATGGAGTCTCTAGGAAAGGTACTAAGTAGCTCCTCTCTTCATAGATGATAAAGCAGAGACTCATAGAAGTTTTTAGGAACTTGCTGATATTTTCACTGCCATTAAATGACACAGAAAAAATATATATATACACATATATGTCTTTTACACCTGATTGTGTGCTTTTTATGACAAATCTAACTTATAAACTGATAGGATAGAATCAGAACACATGCAGTAAGAATTAATTTAAAGTTTAAATCCTCTATTTTCAAATTTTTATAAGAGTAATATCTGTGGACAGTCTAAAGCAGTGCTTCTCAAGCTTTAACGTGCATACATATAAACCACTTGAGAATTTTGTTCAAACAGAAAGGGGCCTGAGATTCTACATTTCTAACAAGCTCTCCAGTGATAATGATGTCTGTTATCTCTGAAACATATTTTGAGAAAGCAAGAGTCTAATGCATCAAAATGGTATGAATTAAGTAACATAAAAACAAGAAAACTATAAACGTCAATATATAATTTAAGACACATTTCCCTTTCATAAACTTAGGTCAACTCCTTATTCTCAGCCATGTTAGAGATGAACAGTGAAGTGCTTAAAGTCTCAGACTTAATAAAACAAATTAACTAAAAAAAGAAGATAAACTATTGGATGGTAGTTGTTATGTTTTACTTCAAAATTTATCTTATAGAAATCAGATTCAAATAAGACTGTGAAAGTAAAAGTGATTTAGGTATAATGATATAAATTAAATAATGAACATATATTGAAGATGTCACTCAACTCTTGGCTAAGGATTTCATAAACATGATCACACCCACTCATCATAACGCCTCTAAGTATTATGACAAGCATTTAAGTAAAGGAGTACAGTAAGTCTCAAAGAGTTTAAGTAATTTCTCCAATCTTACAGACGTATTACATGACAACGGAAGAATTCATATCCAGATCCAACTCCTGAAATATTTTGCTACAGAGGTTCTCATTATAGACATTAAGTATGATTTTGAAATACTAAACCAAAAACCAAATCCAGTGCCCCCTAGTCAATCCCAACTCATAGCCATGCTGTAAGACAGAGTAGAATTGCCTCATTGGGTTTCCAAGGCTGTAAATCTTTATGAAAGCAGACTGTCACATCTTTCTCCCGCAGAACTGCTCGAAAGGTTCAAACTGCCAACCTTTTGGTTAGCAGCCAAGTGCTTTAACCACTACGCAACCAGGGCTACTTGAAATACTAAGGGAAAAAATTTTTTGCCTCAATTTCCCTTCTTTTCCTTATGTCCTACCTGCCTGCCTGTCTGGTAACGATTACGCAGGACCTAACTTGCCTCAGGTATTGGGTGCTATGTTTCGTATTTTGTAATACACGCTTTTTGTTTGTGTTAAACCTAATTTTAGATTTAAAAATTGGCTTATAATCTGCAGAAGTTCTAATGTAGCATTCTGCACTCCTCAGATAATCAAGAAATATGTTAGGATGACTGAATAAATAATGAACACTGAAAATTCAGGGTTTGGTACTGAATTATTTGGATGGTTATTTCATTTTGGCAATTGAAACATACTTCTCTGCGACGACTGTTGTATAGATAAACAGTTTTATCTCTTGCCATGTGTTCCTTGCATTATATTAAAATAATATTTAAAAATTTTAGAACACAAAATGTAAGAAAGACCATACTGAATCACACCAATAGACCGTGTGACTTAGTATTACAACACTGGTGCCAAGCAAATCTTAAGTCATCACCGGCAAAATGGGTGCTGAGTATCAATTTAATAGGTGTAATGACTTCATGGCAAAGTGGGTAAGAGCTCAGGCTGCTAACCAAATGGTCTGCCTTTCAAATCCACCAGCCGCTCCTTGGAAACCCTGTGGGGCAGTTCTACTATGTCCAATAGTGTCGCTATGAGTTGGAATCAACTGGGCGGCACACAACAACAACGACTTCATCGATTTAAAGTTTTGTTTTTTTTTTTAAATCCTTTTCACACTTTTCTTCTATGTTTAAACATTTGCATCTTCCTCTGAATTTGAAAGAGCTCTGCAGCTATTTCTTAACTAGACCAAGTTAGAATTCATTGCTAAGATTACCATTTGGGGCATGCAGAAACGGTAACACGGAAAGGTTAATTGCCTTATGTAAGGTTATTCAGATTTTATGTTTCTCAGTTATTTAGAGTTTTGATGCATGACATTACTTGCAAAAACTGCAAATACAAACTATACAAACTTGTTCTGCATTTAAAATCTCCCTAAAGGAACCACATGTATATAATTTCACATTATAGTACTCTAAACCAAAAACCAAACCAGTTGCTGCCGAGTTGATTCCGATTTATGGCGAGCCTATAGGACAGAGCAGAGTTGGGTTTCCAAGGAGCAGCTGGTGGATTCGAACTGCTGACTTTTGGTTAGCAGCCTTAGCTCTTACAGAGTAACTACTATAAAATGTTCACATTGTGTGCCGTTTTCTATTAATTCACATTGCTAAATTGCATTCACTCAATTCATTATTCTTTTTTTTTTAATTGTAAATTTGGAGAAACCAAATGTAGTATTTAAAAACTTGATTTCTGAGTTTAACATGTTTTCAGGTGAATTGAAGATACTGGCACAAATGTAGTCTTACCGGGAGGTAGAGTGGCGAAGCTTCAAAGTGCAGAATTGTGTATACCATATACTGCAATACTAATGGTGCTTGTGTATACATGGGTTATGTCTGGAAAGAAATCAAATAACCCGGTGACAGTGATGTTTCTGGGAGAAAGAGCTGGAGAAGTGGACTGGGAGACAGGGGTGGGAAGAGATGTAAGCTTCTCTCTGTGACCTTTTGTACAGCTTGATTTTTTTTTCCTTCTTTACTTACGTGGACATTTTTTCTTGCTTTGTAAGTATATATTACTTTTAAAAGATTAATTTTAAAAAAAGAAACAGCATTGACAGAGACACTATGAGATGAAAAAGGGTAGCCATTTTATTTTGATTGAGCACCCTTTTTCATATTTACGTTATAACTAAAAATAAAAGTAATCTGTTTCATGTTAAAAGTGTTGTAAGATCATAAACCAAAAATAAAAGTTGTTCATTATACCAATCTGCAATTTACCAACAAGAATCATATTTTGGTGCATATCTTTTCAGTCTTTCATATTTATGGATACATGCATATATCACATATATTAAAAATACATGTATATACCCATAAAATTAAAATCATGCTATGCATACTACTTTGTAATTTAATTTTAAACATTAATCTCTTTAAAATTTTATTGTCATTTACATTTTTTTAAAGGCTGCGTAATAATCTATGATTTTATATAATGATTATTTTTACAAAATCCCAATAGTTGAATATTTAGACTATTCCTAGCATTTTAATATTTTTAAAAAATGTTTCACTGGAGAGTTTGTATATATATATCCTTGGCCTCATTTCAGAATAGATTTTAGTATAAATTCTTACAAATGAAATAAAAAGATCGAACTATTAAGAATTTCTGTATATATTGCCAAATGTTCCTTCAAAAGAGTTTTATGAATGTATAATTTTAAGAAAAATGTAGGAGGATATTAATTTTTTCACATCCTTTTTGACCCCACTGGAGACCATGATATTTTTCAATCAAGATATTTTAATGTTCAGACTTAACATTAAAAACTGGCATCATATGGATATTTTGACTGGAAGTTGTTACTAGCAAACATGTAGAGATTGTTTATATATTTACAGAATGTCTTCTGTCATTAATTGATTGTTTTTCTGCTCATTTCCTACTTTTCCACTGGACTGTTTTCTTTTTAATGTTTAGAGACTTAATATATGCAGACTATTAACCTGTTTTTGCCATATATTTTGCTAACATTTCCTCTCAATTTCTTGTTTTCTATTTTAAGCTAAAAGATATAAACTAGCCTCCTTCACCATTAATGAGCCAATAATGATTCATGGTGACACAAACGAATAATTCTTTTGTATGAAGATTACAAGGTATGAAAATTTTATTGACTCCTTAATTTGATTAACAGATTTTTTCCCTGAAGATTCAATAATTAAGGATATTTTCATATCCTTAAACTATATAAGACAATAAGAAATGAAACAGTTCATTTTTTAATTTTTAGATAACTATGATAAAATCTAGAATTTTCAAAGGGGGTAATATTTCTCAACATTTTGATTTGACTTGATTCAAACCAAGTAAAGGAAAAGCAAATGTTAAGGGAGCCACAATAAAGTCTATAATTCATTTAGAAAATTGAAAATGAATGTTACTATACAAATATTACTGCACAAATTACCACACTGACACTTGAAAAAATAGAAAACCCACACGTTCCTACATCTATTGAAGATATTAAATTCATAATCAAAACGACACACAAAGAAAACTGAGGTCCAGAAGATTTACCAGTAAGTTACACCAAACATATAAAGAAAAAAT